ATATATATATATTTATATTGGCAGTGCGTGGCAACACAGTCGCCCTGAACTATCAGAGGGGCTGAGGGTTTCCAGGAAGCAAGTGCTTTTAAAGGGATCCTGGAATCCTAGGATCATGGTGATTTCAAAGAGAGTTGGGAGAGATGAAATCTCCAGTCCTGGAAACAGGTGCTACTAATTACCAGACTGAACCAATCAGGTGGCTTAGAGCAGCCTAAAATTAATTAATCTGGACCAGAGTCACGCAAGGAACAGCCAGGGAGGCTGGAATATTTGGAGAGGCTAAGGGAGCCAGGCACACAAGTGTTGGAATCACACGAGAGCTGCACGGAAAGCTGCTAGAACCTGCTAAACAGTATGGAGTACTTCTGTGGAGTTTTGTTAGGGAAACCATTAAAGTCTTGGGACCTGGACATTTGGTTGTGTGCAACCTGAAGTTCGTGAGACTTTGACAAATGTTATTTTGCTGAAAGACAAGTGAAGTTTGTGTTGTTATGTTGGAGAAACCCCTGTGAGGGAAAACTTAAGTCATCTTTTAAATAAAAGTGGGCAGGAAGTCCTAAAAAAGAAGATGTTTGCAAGTGGACTACATCCTTCATGCACTACCCTTTGAAGCTAAATGTCACTATATATTTATTATATACTATATAGTAGATATGTTGTGTAACGGTATCAGCCAAATGATCAGACCAGTGGTGATGTGCAATTTCTACTTTACTTAACAATGAAAATCAACATATATTGCACAGGGGAATCAAATGAAAAGTGGGTTGAAATACAGAGCAATAATCTCAACAATAAGGAAAACAGGCTTGGGAAAATATATGAAAACGATTCTACAGCAGTTCTGGAAATGGCCACCAGATGGCAGCAGAGTATTCTGAGTTCAGTTTACTGAGAGAATAGAGAGCTAAAGAATCTCATGTGTCCAAGATAGGAATTGTTCATTCAACAAACTGTGAGCTGAGTGGATCTCCTGGTGGCACAGACTTCACACTGGCACTGCTGCTGCTGGCTTCGGTCAGGAGGTTCTGGTGGCTGTAGATAGGGCCACCCCACTGCATGGACTGCAGAGTCCTCTCCAGTGACAGGGGCTTGGACAGATGCTGCATGCTCTTGTGCTCACTGCTGGTGGCCCGCTCAACAGACCTAACAGGGGAGAACCCGGCACCTGGGGACAGCTCATTTGCCCAGTCACTGCTGTCCCATCAGGCGCGGTCTCTCTGAGCACAGGAAGTTGGGAGGAGCTGGCATTTATATCCCCTGGGCGTGTCCAGGTGCCCAGGGGATGCTGGGAGCCCAGAGGATTGTGGGAAGGTAAGTTAAAGGGACCTACACCTGAATATGAATAAAGGTGTACTCTACTACAGATAAAATATAAAATATTTAACCAAACAAATTGTTGTTAACCAAACAAAAAAAAAACTCGCTCTCCATGCTTTAGTGATGCCTTCCACATCCTTCTCTATCATCCATTGATAGTCTTCTTCAGAGTGAGCTCCGGCTGTGATGTGCACACCCCCTGGGTGTGTGTCATCATGTTGACCTGGGTTCAGAGTACAATGCTACACTGTTTAGGAGCACTCAGCACCACCGGTGAAGAGGGCCCCAGGCATGTAACATGACCAGCCAGAAGACAGCTGGGAAATAGGTATGTATCTTTTGAAATTGTTTTAAAATTTACCTTGGCGGGGGGGGGGGACGACTAGAAGGCGCACCCCAAACCTTGAAGTGTACACCTATAATATGGATATTGTCCATCTCTGTCGTCATAGAAATGCAAAGATCAACAGAAGGATGTTTTACTTACATTTTCTCCTTTCTCTCCAGGTGCACCGTCATTTGCAGCAGGTCCCTAAAAAATTAAACAGATTCATTTGAAATTCATCCTTGAATTGAGTTAGCAGTTTTTAAGGGGTACCAGTGTATCCAATTTTTTATATTTTAATTTTTTTTTAAATTGTAGAAAAAAAATAGGAAAGAAGATGGTTAGTCTGAAGGGAGAAGGAGATACAATAAATATAATTTAAAGATCACTTGCCTAAAGCATATTAATAGCCAACGCTTTTCAGCTTTTGATAGAGTAAGGAAGGTGACAACACCTGTTCTTATATATATTTTTTTTTTCTGTTGCATTGGGGAGATTGTCTTCCTGTCCTGGAGACGCAAGAGGAAGTGATTACAAATGTCCCCAAAGTTAGGGGAATTCCCTTCTTAAGGTGCCCATACACTGCATGATTATCGGGAAATGCCGCGATCGTACGATAATCGTGCAGTGTATGGAAGGCGTGCGGCTGTTTCTACTATACAGTCGCACGACTTTTGTATTTCGAGCATGTTGGAAAACCAGCCGAGAATCGTACGATTTTCGGCTGGTTTTTAGCATGATCGAGAGATAACTGCCGAACGGGCCGGTGTGCGCACGCGCACACTGCCCGTTTAGCATTGCAGTCATCGGAAGCCCGCCCCTCAGGGGGGAGGGCTTGCGATGATCGCAAGTATGATCTGCCTGTCCAAGATGGGCAGTATGATCTGCTTGTCCAAGATGGGCAGATCGTACGTTTTTTAAATTACTTTACAACCCTCGCAAGACAAAAGTCTTGCGAGGTTTGTAAAGTGTATGGCCACCTTTAGACAGTTGTCACCTGAACTAGATAATTTAGCCACAGCTTTTTTCCTAGTGACACCTGTAAAACTGTTTCCCATCAATTTTAAGGTGCCCATACACCTTACGATTATCGGACGATATTCGTATGCGATCGACTTTTCGTCTGATAATCGTATGTGTGCATAGCAGTGCCCGACCGACATTACTGTACAATCGTACGACTTTTGACGGTCAAGCATGTTTGAAAACTTTGCTAGATCGTACGATGTTCGCATGTTTGGTGGTGTTTCTGGCCGTCAAAAGTCGTACGATTAACACTGCGCATGCGCAAACGAAAATAATTGCGGTCAATTACCGCAAGTCGTCCAGGTGTTTTTTTTAACTACCGCTGATTTAATCTTTCGATAATCGGGGCAGGATGGGGCTGTCGTACGAAAATGGTACGACTATTCGATCATCGGACCAAAAGTTTCGTCCGATAATCGTAAGGTGTATGGGCACCTTAAGTCTCGAAAATGAGCACCAGGATAGACGGTTTGCTTTTGGTGAGCTGGTATGCATACTTTGCTGCATTTAACAAGTGCATCAGCAATTATTTTTTTTTATATTTCTTTCTGGGTAGCGAGCTTAGGGAGCAGAGAAAAAAAACAGCCAGATTCTTTGCCAGGCTAATTTAAACCAGATAATTGGATATATTTTCTTAACGTCAAATAGGAAAAGACACATTGTAATTGCCTTTACAAGCACAGGGTGTAAGACAGATAACATAAATCTATGTTTTTATAATTGGTCAGCCTTTTACATTGCTGTAATTACCCTTGCTCCTGGGAATCCCATAATACCTTCTTCTCCTTTCTCTACTGATAAAGGACCTTTACCCTGCAAAGGAAAGTACATTTTAGGAAAGAAAATCAACACTTATGTCCCTGACTAGCAAGGTAATGTTAGTAACAGAAATGTGCAAGCTTCATGAAATCAACAGTGTTAGTGATCCACCTGATTTGTGCCTGGTATCTGGTTTGCTCCATAATTATTTACAGCAAATCATAAATGTTGGCAGAGTTGGTTCATGTAAAAGGGAAGAGGAGAAGAGTTTTCTATGGTGTTTAAATTCATATTTTGGTCCACTTTAACCTGAACATTCATCTATACTGTAAATATGAATAAATAGGGAAAAATATTTTTTTGTTAAAAGCATTTAGGAAAATTAAAAAGTTGAATTCATTTTTGGGAGTGCTGTGGAAGTGGACCTACAAAAGCTAGTGGTATAAACAATTGTTTTTCCTTTTATGAAGTATTTTGTGGTAGCCTAAGCCACAAACGCTCATCCATATACACCTTAGTGCAAGCTTTACATTTCTGCTTTCACACAAATACGTTTTAAATTCAAACTGTAGCACTGACGTAGCCCTGGTTAAAGTAGGGTTCAGTGGGGTCTCACTAGTCTTGGTTAAACCCCACAAAGCCCTGGTGAGACCCTACCAAGCCCTGCTTTAACCAGGGCTCTGTAGGGTCTCACCAGAGCTATGTGGGGGTCCTACAGAGTCCTGGTTAAACCCGGACTCTGTAGGGTCTCACCAGCACCAGGGCTCAGTAGGGTCTCACCAGGGCTCTATGGGGTCCCACCATGGCTGTGTGCAATTTCACCAGCCTGGTGAGACCATAATGCCGGTTTCCTTGGTAATCCCGTCTGTACATAAGCGCGGATACTGGGTCAGCGTTCTCGATAGAACACCGGCGCTAAAATTTTAAACAAGCAGCTGCCTGAGGTCCCGCGCTTGCTGGGGACCTGGGCAGCCTTCCTGTTAACCATGCGGTGCCATGCCAGTGGGGGGGGGCCCTTCATGGTTTCTTGCACCGGGGCCCTGAAGGTTCTAGTTACGCCTCTGCTACAAGCACTTCTTGTTGGGCAAGGATAAACTTACATGGTTTAACAAAAACACTGAAAAAAAAAACATTGATGAAAAACATTTGTACTTTTCCAGTAATGATAAAAAATGAAACATAAAGAGAGTTATTTTAGTTTTTCTCTGAGATGCAGCAACAGTAGAAGCATCATGAACTAGCCAGTCAGGGAGGGCAATCCTGAAGAGGAGTATAGAAAACATAGAAATATGGATTGGGCTTTTTCACAGCACCATAGCAGTGCCAACACCATTATCATCTTTGATTCTACAAAGAGGCCAATGATGAAGAAGACAAAACCTGAATTCTTTTAAAACGTGTTTCCCAGGGTGCAGCAGTGTAGCACCATCAAATTAGAGGCCCAAGCCACCCATGAACACACTTCCAAATTCTTTACCACCTGGTCCACCTTCCTTTTGACAGAGTTACCAGTAGGACAATTGAAAGATTTAATGTCGCTATTTCAGTATACAAAGTGATACCTGGAGTCCAAGATAGCAGGATCTCTGGGTCCCTTGGATGTTCTTTAGGGCTCCATGGGTGATGCATTTTTTAACACGATCAAACCTGGGATACCGATGTAGGGGTTCCTGTCTTGTCTTTTATTTTATTGTATTTATGCCTTTTCCCCCAAACTTCTTTGTAGTGCTCTATCATTCTCATTGTATGATTCTCTTAGGGTGGTGTAGACATTCCTCTATTGTCAGGGATGGGGAACTGCAACTAGTTTAATACGATTGTGTTGGTTACTGGTTAGTTATTGACAATATACTTAGATGTCTGATGTTCCTTTTCTAATGTGCTCTTTTACGCCCACTTGGAGGGCTATACTTGTATTGAAATTGATATGTTATATACCAATAAAAATCATTTGCTAAAAAAAACAAAAACATTTACTTACTGGTTCTCCAAAGTCCCCTCTCTCTCCTTTATCACCCTTTTCACCCTGAAAGACACAAACATATCATTTTAAGATAAGGGTATTTTTCCATAAATTACATGTTTGTCACATAAAACTTAAAGTGTAACCTCTAAAGGTAATGAAAAGACTTTTCAAAGATTTTTGATATGTTTGCAAAACATCCAAAACACATGTTTTGCTTGATCTAAAATGGGATTTTTTATGCATTGTAAAATCCTTTTTGGAGTCCATTGAGGGACACAGGAACCCATATACTATTTGGTTATACGTATTGCCACCTACAGGAGGATAGGACACTGGCCAACAAAAACATTGTAGGTCAGCCCAAGATAACCCTTCCTATTGCCAGCATGCCTTAGTTTTGTAGCAAAGTAATACTAAGAGCATAATCATAAACACAGAGGGGTGGAACTCTCAATGGACTCCAAGAAAATGATTTCCTGTTTAATACAAAAATTGTATTTCCTTTCTCATTCATTGAGGAACACAGGAAGTTATATACTGTAATGTACCATAATATGTAACAGATTTGCCTGATCCACCTAGGAGATGGAAAAGAACAATAATTTCCAACAGGGTAGGACTCACAAACTAAGAGTGAGCAACAAGGAGAAGGAACACTTCTCCAAAGACCGGGGTAGGACAGAGGAACTGAAAACTGTGTCTGGGAAGGGAAGATCACAGTCTCCTTAGGCTGGAAAAGGCTCTAAGCCTCATCTCACTTAACCCCTAGGTGCAAAGAAGAAAGTGGATGCATAACTAGAAGAACTGCCGGGGCAGACATCCACCGCATCAGAGCCCAAGAAGAATGTTGTGAATACCTGATTCAGAGGTGACTCCAAAGTGTTACCAATGGTCCCTGCACCCTTTTGGAGAACCAAGTTTGATTCCTTGCAGTCAGCATGACCAACTGGAAAAGTACATTAGAGCAATCTATACAAGGAGTGGGCAGGGGATAGTAGGTAGCATCTGAAAAACAAGGAAAATAAAGATCTGATAGAGCTAAGAACCATGCTCCTTCCCAAGCTAGAGCTCCATGTCAGGATCGAAACTACCTCTCCTGTCACAACAAGAATTCCTGTTCCTCCTTAGTTGAGAAAGCACGCCAGTGCCCTGAGATTGACCAGCAATGTTTGTATCAGGACACATAACCAGGCAAAATCCCATGATGTAGGAGGAATCACCTGTTCTGGAAATCCAGAATATAACCCAAGAGACAAGTATGCTCCAAAGACAGGATTTTCCCTAAGGTGGGAAGAGAAGGCCTTACTAGGTCTACGCTTGGAAGACGGATCCATCAGGCCAGGGACTACCTGATGCTCAGAAGCACACACGTTAATCTGCTCAGGAGTTAGATCCACAACAGCAGAGGGGAGGGCTGAGGTAATCAGAGAGGAGATTGGAAAAAAGATTGCGCCTCAGAAAGAAAAGCCCTTTGACACCCAACTCTCCAACAACAGTAGAGAGATGGGTACCAAGTCCCAGTAAAAACTGGGTTTTACAGAGAGATTCTAGCTGCTGGTCAATAGAATCCTTAAGTCACTGGCAGATCTGCAGTGGGTTATTACCACTGCTTCACAAATTCCTTTGCAAATGGGAAAAGATAGAGCAAGTGCTCAGGGGGACTCCAGGACCCCTCAGGGTGCTTACAATACTCATAGCGGAATACCTCAAAGAGCAGGTGCAATGGGAAGGTGTCTGCAGTTGAAAGACCTGAGACTGGAGACAAGTGGCCTGATCCTCCAGATGCAGAATAGTACAAAATGTATCAATAAAAACTTAAATTCCCCAATTCCTCAAAAATATTCTCATCATTGAGGAGTGCACTTAAAGTCTCTTTAGTCAGCACCAGTAAAGAACCAGGTTAATTTGGCCACAAACACTTGGTTGTCTGTAATAAGGGCCCCTCACTTGACAGAGCTAAAACTCAAATGAGGGATTCCTTGTAAACATAGGGAAACAATATTCTAGATAGTAGATGTCAGTACCTTCAGAGGGCACATAGTAAATAACCCAGAAAGGTAGGAGAGTGTGAGCTGGGATCATCAGGTACAGCGAGACCACCCCCTCTGTGTCTAGATAGAGACATGTTGCAACCATGTGGTGGTGATGCAACTAAGCTAAGGATATCAAAGCAAGGCTTCAGAAAAAACCCAGACAGCTGGTAGCCAGTGAGGGTCGGTTGGCTGGAGGTGGCTAACGTCATGGACAGGAGGAATGAACCAAAGACTGGAGATCCACATGGCTCTTTGCAAAGCAGGAGCAGCATTGGGATGATGCTTCCTTGGCTGGAAAGAGACATTGAGGGAATGTGCGACACTCCACCCAGTGGATGGGATCATTGTTCAGTTCCTCAATGTTAACTCCTTTCATGGTAATACAAGTCATGTTGAACTTCCAGTGACCAGTATGAGAGAGTGAGAGCGATAACACCAAATTTAACACACCTGCTCCCCATTCACACCTGAGACCTTGTAACACTAACGAGTCACATGACACCGGGGAGGGAAAATGGCTTATTGGGCCCAATTTGGACATTTTCACTTAGGGGTGTACTCACTTTTGTTGCCAGCGGTTTAGACATTAATGGCTGTGTGTTGAGTTATTTTGAGGGGACAGCAAATGTATACTGATATATAAGATGTACACTCACTACTTTACATTGTAGCAAAGTGTAATTTCTTCAGTGTCCTCACATTAAATGATATAATAAAATATTTACAAAAATGTGAGGGGGTGTATTCACTTCTCTGAGATACTGTATCTGCAGAGCACTTACCATAACATCATTAAGAAATAATGGTTTCATATTGTGTTTATTCCCATTCTGGAAATCTTTATCCCAATTATGAATAAAGTAAGTGTTCTATACATCTGGCTTCTAAATAAGGCCTATATTTAGGTTACCACTAACAATGAGAAATATTGTGTTTACAACTTGGAGCAATACAATAGCAGAATAATCAAGTGATTTTGTTCACAAATAGGTTATATTTGAGATGTTCCTTACCAGAAAATCTATTATTGAGGTATCTGATGGCTTTACTTGCTCTAAGTGGCATGGTGCACCAGTGGGTCCCGTTTGTTCACCCTGTAGAGGATGGGAAAGAAAATCGAGGTTATATACAACTTTTATTTCCTGTTATTTTTGTTTTGTCACTGGACATACAGTATGTCACCTCTGCATGCCCTAGTCTTATTTCTGCCTTTCATTTTTTTTTTCAATTAGGAAATAAACAAAGGAAAAAGTGAGCAATGACATTCATGAGCACAAGCAAGTCAGCTCAGAATGTCTTGGCACAGTGTAACCAATTTTCATCTACTCACTCATATGTGTAGGGCAGCAAGCACCTCTGTAGTAGAGATACCACGTTGGGCATCAGACCCTGTACTGAGCATAATTCTAGGTTATATTAATGGTTTATATTTTATGGTATTCAGATATAAACTTTGATCTCAGTGGAGGATACAGCAAGCACAATTTAAAGCAGACCTTCCATGAAAATTGGAAGGTGTGCTTATCTTTTAGCCTCCCATTTAAAATAGCATAAGTAACATAGGAAAAATCATTTAGAATAATAAGAATTCTATTTAAATTGAAAGAAAAAAAAAACAACCCAATGTACCTTACACCCCAGCTTCTAGTATGCACGCCAAGGGAGGAGTGACATCACCGGGCCTCAACGTGGGTTCCTGGGAAGTCTGTGGATCCCAGATCCTGAAAGAATGTGTCCCTATACAGTGCTAAAGAATTTATTTGTGATATTTGGGATCCTCAGCATTAACAGGATTTCATGGTCAAAGGTCATCATTGCCAAAAGTTGGGGTGTAAGGTAAGATTTTTATGCCTTTCTTCCAGTGTTCTATTTTCATATTCTTTTTGCTAAGTGCTTTTACATAGGGTTGTGTGGTGGCTGCAGCAAGATAAGTAGACTGCATTTTCATGCATGGTCTGTTTTAATTAAAGTTTGAACTCCTCAGGGACACTGATAACCTTCACTTGTTATACAGCATGATAATGGCTAGTGAATAATTACTGTACACCCAATGTTTAATTCAATATACTGTATAGTGTGGACTGTCTATATGGTTGACATGAACTTAGCATCATGCTGTGCCATGAATTACTCCAGCGCCAAGAACTCTAAATAATTTTCTCAAGCATGAAAATGCGCAGCACACTTAGATGTAGGCATTACCAGTGTGTTGAAATGGAAATACTTCATCTTTGCTTTCAATCCTTTTTTTCATTAGAAAGGAACCCTGCAGTGCCATGAAGATATCCGTTTCCTGTCTGTTTATCACTGAGAAATTCATCATTTCATCTTCCTCCCTTTACAATTTCTTTTCAGACTGCAGTTTGCCTTCAGCAGCTCTTAACTTCTCAGTCTGCTGAAAACTTAATAAAAGTGCCATGCACATTTTTATGCTATCTTTATTCCTTTTCTTTGAGATTCCATAATAAACCGCAGAATACAAGAAAAATGAGAGCAAGGAAATGACAGAACTTAATAAATCTATGAATTGCATAGTGTGAACAGTCTTTTGTCTACCAATGTACTAAAGAAGTAGAGCATGTCCACTTTGCACAGTAAACTTTTACTTAGCTTAGTGAATGAGTTGAGCCTAAGTAACAAATCACTCTGCAAAGAAAACCAATTTATGTGTAAGGAAAATAAAAAACAGGATTTATGCTCGCTTACGATTGGATAATTGAAGTCAACTCAGCTTCAACTCGTTCAGTTAGTCATAAACATGTTCTACTCCTTTAGTAAATCAACTACTATGTGTACATTATAATGAGACTGATTCTAGTCCTATTAGTTTTAAACACAAACTGGCACAAAATGTATTGTGTAAGAATACAGTGAAGTACTTGCATGTCCACCATTATAGATAACTTGATCACCTGTGTTTGGCATGGAAGACCTGGGGGTCCTGGCTTGCCCTGTTCACCCTGTTAGCATATAATAAAAATATTAATAATAAGGCTATATAAAATACATAGTCTGCTTTTTTATAACTAAACATATGTAACAGGAAAGAGTTATCATGCCGTCAAGTCATATAAACAAAATGTGTAAATTTGCTCTATTTACTAAAAAAAGAGTGCTAAAAATCTATATTAATTTGAGTAGCAGCAGATCAAAGCTATAAACAAAACTGGTCATACACGCGGGGCCATGTTTACAGTAAGGTTCTCTAAGGCTTTCTTCCGAAACACAGATAGCATACTGCCATCTCAAACTCAATCTGTCCAAAACAGCACTACGATCAACCCCTCCCATCAAGCCAGGGTAAGTAATCCTTGATTCTGAGCTCTCCTTTCAGCCCCACATCCAATTACTATCATATTGTAAAGCGCTGTGCAAATTGTTGGCGCTATATAAATTCTGTATAATAATAATAATTCTTGCCGACTCGACCTCCGTAACATTTCTTTTGGGATTCTCTCCCTTTTTAACAAACGAAACCACAAAGCTTCTAATTCACTCCCTTGTAATCTCTCACCTTAGCTACTGTAATTCCCTCCTTGTTGGACTACCACTAAACAGGCTATCCCCCCTTCAGTCTATCATGAATGCTACTGCCAGACTCATCCACCTTACCAAATGTTCAGTGTCTTCCGCCCTCCTCTAACAATCTCTCCGCTGGAGGCCAATTGCCCAATGAATACAATTCAAAATACTAACAACTACATACAAAGCCATCTACAACTCAGCCCCCGACTACATCTCCAACCTTATCTGATAATATCAACCAAACCATCCTCTCTGCTCCTCTCAAGGCTGCCTGCTTTGGAACCCCTTACCCCAATCTGCCCACTTATCACCTACGCTGTCCACCTTTAGGCAATCCTTAAAAACTCATCTCTTCAGCGAAGTCTATCGCACCTCAACATAACTGCCCTTTTACTTCTTCCACTAACTTAATCTAAACAATTATTACCTTATGTATCACTTTCCCCTCCTACTAGATTGTAAACTCTCATGTGCAGGGCCTCCTAACCCTATTGTACTGACATTATAATAATATTGCCTTTTCAGTCTACCAGGCCTCTTAACTCAGGTTAATGAAAATAACAAAATTTGTCAGGCCGAAACCAACATTTTTTTTTCCTATCCTTTTTAAAATAATTTTTAAAATATTTTATTTTTACTTTATTGTTGGGGGCTCTGGGGAAAAATCAGGGGTTTAGACCCCTGATATTTCCCTTTTAAAATAGAAAAAGAGATTGAGGACACAAAGTCCTCAATCTCTTTTTTTGCAGCTCCTGTTATGAATGAATAGGAAGCCTCAATACTGAGTGTTCCTGTCCATTCATAAACTGAGGATATAGTGTGAATTACACAATCATGAATGAACAGGAAGTGATGTAGAGAACTTCCTGTTCATTCATAATTGTGTACACAGTAAAGATACTGCTTGACCTCCTGTGACACCGCTGACAGCACTCTCCTCCCTACCCTGCTCAGGCTCCTGAACACTTTTCTCCTCCCCGCTGGACCCTTCTGACACAGAGCAGCGCCCAGCTGCTCTTTGTACATATTCAGCATTTTGCTGAAAGTACCTTTTTTGGCGAAAATGTTTTTCGGTGGCCAAAGTTTCGGTGCATCCCTAGTTAAAATCCCTGGCCGCTTTTGCTGTCTTTGTACCATTGGGGAAATTTTCCTTCACTTCCTCTTAGAAACAGAACAGGAAGTTAGAATACATTTCTAAGTGAGGAGATTTCCCCTCTAAGACAATTGCCCCTGGAAACAGGTATCCTTTTTTACCTCTTGTTCTGGGGACAACTCTTAATTGTTGCACTTCTTCTCACCCAACGGGGCCACTTTAAGCAATATTGTAGTTTGAAAGGTTTAACCGTTCCCCACTCTATTTTTTTTAACCTAGACAATAGCAAGCAGTTAACTCTTGCAGTGTGGGGGTAGCCCCACTGCAAGGGTTAATAAACATTCTGCCCGGAGTTCTGCTTTAATGTTATACATTATTCCACCTGTTTAATAATAAATAATAGTAAAGATAAACAACAAAGAATGGGTAACTCCGTACCAGTTTTCTCTGTGACGTTGTTCTGGGACCATTAACATTTACATTTCTGCACTGTGGTAATGTACAGTAAAACATAGGAACTCTGTTGCAGTATATTGTAGAGCCATTTAATTTTGAATGTCACCCCTTCACTCTATTAAAGTAGCAGGCAATGAACTGACTCTGCTGTGCGGACATGTGCTGTGTTAAAATAAAGGGTCAGTGCATTAAAGTGTGCTGCCAGTCCATTCAAAATTATAGGGTTGCCCTAATGCAGCACAAAACAACAAAATGCATGATAATGTGTTGCATTAATGCAAGTGTGTTAATACAGCGCATAATATAAATGGGTAATGTTATTCCCAATAGAACTTGGTAGAACAAACATGAGATCCAATATCTGTTGACCTGTACAATTGTAATCTATGGTCCTTACCAATACAATAATTGTGTTAAGGGACAAAGAAACAGCTATATAAAGACTTTTTTTCAAATGAAGAATACATTATTTACCTGTTCTCCCTTCTGTCCATAAAAGCCAATTCCTTTGCTGCCCTGCAAAAAGACACATGTAAAGTTAGAAATTGCTGTATGGAAACGGGGTTAAAATGTAAATATACTTACAGAAGATGAATAACATTATCATTATTATGTGAAAAAATGAACCACTTATATGCTGACCACCATATGTAAATCTTTTTTTATCCGTAACTATAATTATGTTAATTTGTTTATTTTTTTTCCAGTTTGGTAAGAAATTATAGCTTGGTTTTTTATGTTGTTTGCACCCATATATATTGTGGGTGTTCTTCATGTTCCTGTTAGCTTTATGGTACAGATTTTGCAGCTGTTACCTAACTGCTCTACTACTATTTTTTTTAGTTTTGGAAACAGCAGGAAAGGGTTAAAACGCCTGTCAGTTTATTTTTTGTTGTCTATGTCCCCTTAGGTTTTCCTTCACTTCCAGTTTTGGAAATGCAAAAAAAAAAAGTAGTGGAAATTAGGGATGCACCGATACGAGTACCGATATTTATTTTCTGGTACTCGTCGATACCGATTTTTACGAAGTCGGGCGCCGGATCATGACCCACGCCCGGCTTCCTGATTGCCTGTGAAGTGTTCTAGTGAAAGAACACTGGCTTCAGAGGCTGCCTGCTTTCTGACCAATCAGGAAGCCAGACGGCATGTCATGAGATGCTGTCCGGCTTCCTGATAGGTCAGGAAGCCAGTCTGCCCAGCAACAAGTGAAGCCAGCTTTCTAGCCAATCAGGAAGCTGGGTGGCACCTCATGACCCGCCTCCCAGCTTCCTGAGTGGTTAGGATACAAGCTTCACTTGTTGGTAGGCAGGCTGGACTTCTAACCAATCAGGAAGCCAGGCAGCGCGTCATGACTCACGTCCTGGGTTCCTAAACGTTATAAATAAATAAACAAGTGCACCTGCAGAAACTTGTGTCAAATAACAATTGCATATTAAACATACATAGGGGTCTATTCACAAAGCTTCCAAAGGATCTAGCCATAGCTTTGGCTGATCCTTCGGGTAGCTTCGGCCCCAGGACCCCTTTGGTTCAGGGCTGCTGTACGGGCTATTCACTAGAGCCCGTACAGCCCCCGAAGTTGGCCGAGGGGCTCAGTCGAGCTGAAGGCATATGCTGCGGCTCGACTGAGCCCAGGGGATTTGCGAAGCTGGCCGAACGGCCGGCCATTGGCCGGCTGACAGCCTGCTCCTGACTGTTGGGCGGAGCCAGCTGTCATCTCACAGCTGGCTCCGGCCACTTGCAGAGAGATCAGCGTCCCTGGTTACCAGGTAACCAGAGACGCTATTTTATCATTACCCTGAGAACCCGTCGGAGCTGCTGTAAAATCACAGCAGCTCCACCGGGTTCTGTGTGTAATGACAGAAGGCGTCCCTGGTAACCAGGGACGCCTTCTGTCATTACACTGCGGCTCCTTAGTACACGGAGAACCCGGCGGAGCTGCTGTAAAATCACAGCAGCTCAGACGGGTTCTCAGTGTGTAATGACACATGGGCATCCCTGGTTACCATGTAATCCCCTCACATTGAAACAGGTGTCCTCATTGGAAGATTTCCCCTTTTATTCTTGTTTTAGTGACAACTTTAACTATGTGGATTTCCCATTTATAATTAATAAGACAAATAGAGAGGGTGAATCTTCCTAGTAGGGAAAAAGATAGCTATAAAAGCCTGATAGATCCTCTATCCAGAAGTTAAAAAAAATTGGTATAATATCCACTTTAAGAATAAAATTTTTATACAATCTCACTAAACAATTTATTAGGAACATTTGTGCACCTGCACATTCATGTCATTATCGAACTAGCCAATGTGTCAGTGGCAAAGTACATAAAATCATGCAGATCACACCAAACACCATAATAGGGAAGTGTGATCTCAGCAATTTTGACCATTACATGATTTTTGGACGGGCTAGATGGAGTATTTCTGTAATTGCTGATCTCCTTGGATTTTCACACACAACAGTCTCTAGCATTTACTTAAAGTGGTAGTTCTGTGAATAGAAATGTCTTTTTGATGAAAAAAGGCTGAGGAGAAACTGAGTACACACTGGTTTGAGCTGACAGAAAGGTTATGGTAACTCAAATAATAGCTTTATACATCTCAGAATGCACAACACTGTGACCCTTGAAGCAGCCGGGCTACAGCAGGCCACATCCTATTCCACTCTCGTCAGCCAAAAACAGAAAGCCGAGACTGCAGTAGGTACAGGGTCACCAAAACTAGACACTTGAAGACTGGAAAAACGCAGCCTGGTCTGATATATCTTCTGCTGAGGCACGTAGATGGTGCAGTTGTCACCGGATCTCAATCCAACAAAACCACTTTAGGATGTGGTAGATTAGGAGATTCCAAAATGAATGTGCAGCTAACAATTTTGCAGAAACTGCATGATGCGATCATTTTCATATGGACCAGAATTTTAAAGGAATGTTAGAGGGATGCAGACTCATTTTCATGAACACATTAGACTAATATGGGAGTAAAGGGAGGCCCTACCGTTTATTAGTATAGTGTCCCTAATAAATTCCTGGGTAAGTGTTATGCTATAGTGTATACAAAATACATCATTTATTATATGATACAAACAATTCTGGCCTAGTAAAACTTACTGGTGGTCCTGCTGGTCCAGGTGGTCCTGGTGGCCCCTGTGAAAACAAATCCCAAGGGTTAGAAGATCAATATTAAACAGGTGCCTATGCCCATAGCTCTACCACTGTGCTACACTGCATGTAAATCGGTCATTTTGTCTTAACGTGTAAAATAAGATTATGTAGTCTTGTGCACCTGTGCCAGACCATGGAAATTAAACAATTTATATATTCTTCACAAGCAGTAAAAAAGCTTTAAAACTAGAACCCCACTCTGCTCTCTAGGCACTTTCACTGTGAAGTAATTCATTCTCTTGGCTTCATCTGCCCTTTCGCATTCTCTTGGGTTTCAGTCAGTTTCTTAAGGTGGACCTTTACCCCCATTAACAAAAAATCACATCAGCATATAGCTCTGCATGCTGATATGAAATCATCTTACATTCATTAATTAAACAACCATATTTATATTTTACTTGCAGTTTATTTGTTTCCACTTCCTGGTCCACTTTGGCACACATGATGTAATGTGCCCAAGCGTTGCATCCTGGGAAGGTTACATCAGCAGAGCATTGCTGGGAAATCTCATCTGTAATCTCATGAGATCTCAGGGAAAGGCATTTTTACCTTCCCTGAGATGGTGTGCATGGTCACATGTCCTAGTCACATGTGCCAGAGTTCCAGGAAGTATAAGGAGATCTAGTTACCTGCCCTTAGTTTAAAATGGCCACTATGAAAAGACTGGGAAAGAAAAGAAAAATAAGGTATGCAAAGAATACAAAGCCTGCTATTATCTAGAAGTATGTGTTTGTAGATTTTCATTACTAAACATTTCTAAAGGTGTATTTGTTGTTATTTTGAAGATATGGGTAAAGGTCCTCTTTAAAGCTTAGAAACACCTATTGTGTGCTTACAGTAGAAGGCTGGCAGACTGCCAAGATCGGCTCTTGATAGAAAAAAAGCTGAGATTTCTGTACCACTGAACTGTGAAAATGAATTCCTATATCATGTCTAAAGAGGTAAATGCAGCCTTGTTTTAAAGTTCTTTTAACTGCTTATTAGTAATATGAATATTTTTTTATTGTTCATAGTATTGGCACATGTCAGAGTTATACTGACCTGAACCATGATCCTGTGTGGCTCCTGGAACGGTCCCTTCAGCCTGCCTCCTCCTCCTCTGCTCCAGCAATGGTATGTCCCTCGGTGTCCTCACATCCAATACACTGAATAGGACAGGGGTAGCCAAACTCCGGCCCTCCAGCTGTGGTAAAACTACAAATCCCATGATGCATCTCTCTCCGGGAGTCAAATCTGTGGCTGTGAGAATCTTGCAATGCCTCATGGGATTTGTAGCTCCACCACAGCTGGAGGGCCGGAGTTTGTCTACCCCTGGTATAGGACATGATGACCCACAGGACCTTAAACTGCTTGAGCAGAGGGGGAGCGAGGCTGAAGTGACCAGTCTTGCAGCCAACCGGAATCATGTTTCCGCTGAGTATAACTGTTCTTTTTAGCTCCCTAGGCAAAACAAGCACTTAACCCTTGAATTCCAGGGGTAGCCCCACTGCAAGTGTTAAGAATGTATTTGCCTGGCGTTCTTCTTTAAATACAAATTTATAGCCCATTAAATGCAATACTAACTTTGTCTAGGACTGCAATATTACTTTCTGCCAGAGGTCACCAGTTTTCCGCATTGATAGATGCTGGCCAGCATTCAAACCGTTTCCTCTGAGCCCAGGCTGTAATGGACCCACTTCCTGGGAGTGCATCATCACAGCAACTGGGCTCACTGTACTACTGCATGTAATGTCATTACATGAGCACTGTTCAGTGCTGAAGTAAGGGTAGCACACTGTTGCTGCCAGACAAAAAGAGGATGGACCTGTGATGTCATCAGAACGGATGGAAGACTGCTGGATTAAAGGTATATATGCTTCTCTAAATTTTGGGGTTTAATGAGGAGTTGCGCTAATATTGCGCAACATAAAAATTTTCAACTATCACCATTTTATTCTATAGGGTCTTGGCATTCAGAAAATATATAATGTTGGTGGGTTTTACGTCATTTTCAGGCCTAAAATGTGGAATATAACATGGGTGCAAAAAATGAAAAAAGGGCCTCAGTCATGAAGGGGTTAAAGTAGCTGCAGTGCAGTCACAGGAAGTTGTGGGTGGGGGGCAGGGGAGGACAGAGGGTGGATTTTGTTTTATGTATCATGGAGTTTGGCATTAAAACGGAAATTAAAGGAAATACATTATACTTTTGTGCAGCACTACATTTATTACATTCACTTTTAAAATGCAAATGTACATATTCAGAAAGGGTTTGTAAAGTGCATTCACCCATAATGACCCATCAACTGGTTAATGCAGGTTGCTGCACTTTAGACATCATTGTTTTATACAAACTATTTTAAAACATTCACTATATGGCCTGATATTGCAAACCAGGAGGCTTCCATTTTCGAAAGCAGATTGAAAAGCAGAAACTGATTGTCCCTTCTGCACCTTGTATTTACAAAATGTATTCTGGCTGCATTGTCACTACTACTTCTTTTACTATGGTTATATCTAAGGGTCACCTGGTCATAGTTTCAAAGGAAAGCTACAACAGTTAAGTTTATTTTATGTTTTGTTTATATGCTTTTAAAATTGTGTTATATATCTCTGTTTTGCTATTGATATCAATTACTTTTTCAGCAAATTAATATTTAATACAGGTTGCATCCTAAGACTAGATTCACAGAGTATTATGGCTTTTTTTTTACAAAGGGAGAACAGCAGATATTGGGCCACTTGAACAGCAGGCAAGGTGGTGAAGAGGAATGGCTACATTACTCCTCGCACTAATGCAGAGCTGTCTGTAAACTGGAGAGTTACTGAGCTCTGTAAACAACAGCCTTTTTTCAGCACAGCAAAAAAGGATAAACTGGAAAACACGAAAAGATGCTGACAGAATATAAGAATACAATATATTCATAGGAAACATTTATATCAATATATATTTTTTAATTATTTTATAATATAGATTATATTAAATATATTAAAACAATGCCTACAAAACCAATATACATTTCGCATTTCCTATTAGCCAATTCATGCTCTGTGCTGTTTGAAGGGAACTGTGTTTGTAAGAATATACTTACAACCAATCCTGGTTCACCAATTGGACCAACGAATCCAACTCTGCCTGGTAGACCATTGGAACCCTGGAAACGTCAAAAAGTAAATTTAACCAGACAGTATTTAAGTAGTAAATTGTAATTACAGTTATATAGAATGTCCTTTATGGAATAATTGCCCTTCAGCTAACAGCAGTAAAAAGAATGTTACAGTGTCATGATAATTTCCCTCTACCTTATCACATAAGAGAGTATCATAACTAAATATTACAGTAAGGCTTGGTGGTCAGCATTGTTGTCTTGCAGGACCAGAACCTGTGTACTCTGCAAACTGCTGTGGAATTTCTTTGTACTTTAGAAATCAATAAAATAAGTGATAAGTGTGCTGGTAGAAAGAGAAGATGTGGGCTGTAACCATATAGACCCACCAAACTAATGCATTATTATCATAGTATAAACCACATGCTGCAGATTTATATCTAAAAACGATATGCATGTGAAAATATGAAGTACTGTGGTAAAGAAATGAAAAATGTACAAGCTTCTTTTGATTTTCTGGGTGGGAGGCATGGGAATGGGAGGAAACTAGTTTTTTTTAGATCTCCACAGAAACTTCCTGTAATTTACCGTATGTGGCTCTGTAGTATGAAAGAGAGAATTCCTAGATGCGCATATCTTTGCTCCCCTTGTGCTCATAATCAGACATTTGTCACAGCAGAACAGTGCTATTTAATTTATGCAAATAATTTATACAGGACTAGAAGGTTCCACAGTACTTTGTAAAGTACACAGGCTATTTTCATCAGTTCACAGACCCTGAAGCCTAATGTCCCTACTACATCATGTAGACAATATATGGCCATTTCTGGTTAAAAGCTGTTTATTTAACTAATATTTTTAGATTGTGGAAAAGGAGAACTCCAGTGGAAAACCAAACAACAGGACGGAAAATATACAGTCCATGCAACGGGTTTCCATGGTGAAAAATGAACTCCAAACCCTACTGCAACAACAATGCACGCCACCACACCTGAAAAAACAGGGATGCTTTCCTAGCTAAAGGCACTTTTTTTTCACTCCTAAAGTGGCGGCAGGAATGGGAAATCTCTACTATTTAGAGACTAGGACAGATGCTTACCTTTTTTACTTGGTGAGAGCAGGACGAAGTGGAAAGAACATGGGATCTAACTACAGAACATCATGTATTCTCTTTGATTTCAGTGGTAAAAAATACAAATACTTACTGGGTATCCTGAAAATCCAGGTTCACCAGGTTCACCCTGAAAGATAAAAGTCAAACAATGTTAAAAATGTGCACATAGTTCAGTGCTTTAAAGATCATTTTATTATGTGCATTACCTTGAGCTGCAACATGCACAGGCAAATGAGACTCTGAAATTTGTGGCAAACTTACAATTTATTGCTTATATGTGAGTACCAGTAGACAACCTTAATGGCTGGAAGGCTGACAGCACCACACAGCACCAGCCTGCATACCTTTTATCAGTAGGGGGGTGGTACGCTTTGACAGAGGGGCTCCCCGAAGAAAAGAAAGTCCTCTAAAAGCACCATTGTATGGGATTTGAGCTTTGGGCAGATTATGTGCAATTCACCTAAAACCTAACAGTAGCCCATTTGGGGCCTGCAATGAAGTGCAGGAGCCTGTTCTTACCATATTTAATTGTGGCTTGCTTGCTTATTTATTAATAGTACTAATGTTGTTATAGTTACAAAACAACTAACAAATTAGAAAATAAAAACAAAAACATGGAATTAGACTAGATGATGTTTTGTCATTAAAATGTTACTTACTCTTAGTCTATTTTTCATGTCTTCTGATACATAGAAAGCCTCTCCTTTTTGACCTTTCATACCTGGGCTACCCTGTAATATAAAGAGAAAAGACATAAGCTCCATCACAATCCAATTTTCATTATTTTCAGGTTTTTTTGTGGCAAATAGCCTTTCTGCTCAATTATTCAAATTGGTGCAGCAGGAGCTGTAAATTATAGTATAGTAACAGTTTCATGCAATTTAACCTGCTAGGAAATAACTATAATAGTGAAGAAAATCTGACTGTTCCAGGATCAATAAAGTCTGTTAGATGAAATACGTAATTCAACCTTGAGAAATGTGATATCGTCAGGTAGGCAGTGAAATAAAGTTTTTAAAACATAGATCAGCTGCACCAAATTTGTAAAGCTGTATAATAAGGCAATGGATATTTTAAAAAAAACTAGGAATAAAAGTGGAAATAAATAGAAGTGTCAACGTTAGTGGATGTCTGTCATACATTATCAAGATTGCACATATAGTGGAGTTACAATTTATTCTTTATTGGCAGTTTACTGCTCAGGATAAAGTAGTAGTAAAGGCCAGGTGTTTTTTTTTGTTGCCTTATTGCATTCTCTGCAAATGGGGTAAAAAATGGCCAGTAGCTTTCCATGTTCCCCTGTCCCCAACACTAATAATAATAACACTAGGAATAAACGTACAAGTGGGTCACAAAGTCTAGCAACAGACAATAGCTAGCTGTCAAGGATCAGGAAAATATCCGGCTTCTAAAAGTTTATCCTTTTCCAGCTAAAAAATAAACATGCATATTCATAACACACCAAAGTGCATGTTTATATCAACCTAAAAATAAATCTCAATTTGCTGAATTTATCTCAATAAAGCAATAGCAATGGAGCAATAAGCCATTGACAAAAAATTAAAACTCAGTCAAAGGCCGTACCCCCATTATATGTTCCACACAGGTGCTCCGCAGTATGAAATTACCCAAAGACTGAGCTTGATTCTTGCCTGATCCCACTGAAAACACGTGACAATTATCGAATGTCTAAATGTAACATAACACTTTAAAGAGAAATAAAAGTACCATGAACACGAACATGAACAGTAGGAATGTTACATATAAAAGGCACAAAAGAGGTAATATACCCCACATTTCTGAAAATATTTCCTCCATAGATAATACATAGTACTTACCAAATACCCCAAAGGTCCTCTTGGGCCTTGTGAACCAGCCTCACCAGCGTCCCCTTTTGTTCCATTGCAGCCATCATGTCCTGGCTTTCCTCTTGATCCACCTTGCCCAACGTGGCCCTTTGAATAGTTTTATACAAATGTGGTTAGACTGTTATCACCTAAGAACAGTATATCGCTGCACTCTTTGCTGTCAACACATCCACTGCATTTGCAGATGACCCTAAAATATATGTGACAGTAGATGGCCATATTGGATTGTTCAAGTGATATAAACATCTAGCGAGTAATTACATTTTCTGGAGTCTACTAAAACATACTGCATATATCAGTTTTTGGGTGACCTTTGAAAAATATAATATACAACCAACACTGTGAGCTATAACAATTATCACTTTCCAAGTTTTGCATAGTCACCAAATCCCTTTACCTAGTGCATAACTATCTTGCTGCATACTTTGTTCCAACCACATAAAATCCTCATTCTTTATTCATTTAGATTGTAAGCCCTCACGGGCAGGGCCCTCCTTACCATCTTGTCTTGAATTGTATTGTGATTGTAATGTCTTCCTTATATTGTAAAGCGCTGCACAAACTGTTGGCGCTATATAAATCCTGTATAATAATAATAAGAATTTGTCATCCTTGTCTCTCTGCTCTAAAATATGTAAAGTTTCAGAAATGATCTCCACTCGTTTGCCCAAATGATACAAAAATCTAAGGGTAAATCAGTCATTTAAGTCTCCCAATTTTTGGGGCTTGCTTGTAAATATTTTTTAAGATATGGAAACCATATCTCGTAAAGAGAGGGAGTTGAAAAACACAAGTTGAAAAACACAATAACTGTTGTACTGTGTGACTAAAGTCCCATACTTTGACACGCCCAGGGATCTGGAAATTGGGTTAGGTAAAGCCAGAAGGGGGTGGGGTATTTTTGGATTTGGATTGTTGGCAACTAAGTTGACTGCATACAAATGTATACACCATTTATATTTTAGGGGATGGGATATAACCTAAATGCTAGCTAGCTTTAAAGGAAAACATTTTTGTCAGGTGTGTAGCACTGCCACACTTACAGGCACGCCATTGGCTCCTGAAAAACCTGTGACACCACTTTGGCCCTGCAAAAAAAAAAAAGGGTAAAGTCATTAACATCAACTTCTCATTATTGAATTTACCTACAATGAAAGCATGCTTTCATACTAAAGGAATAAGTCAGCATATGTACCTTATCTCCTGTTGGTCCTGAAATGCCTGGATGACCTCTGTCACCTTTGTCTCCTTTACGTCCTGGTAAGCCATCTATTCCAATGAGACCTGGTGGCCCAGAAGGACCTTGCCCGCCAAGTTGCCCAGGTTGTCCCTAAAGAAAAAGTCAAAATATAAATTGGTGATTTACTGTAGCTGAAAACATGCTTTTGCAGAAATCTGAAACCTACAAGAAAACAAATGTAAAATTCGACTTCACAGTGGTTTTTATTCTTATTAGACACATAATCAGACATACAGTTATATGGTAACCATATATACAGATGTAGACAAAGAAGTTAGGGGTTCATTTATAAAAGTACCATCCACTGTATAGCCAGGTGGATTCCGTTTGCACGGCACTAGAGCCCCTAGACGGCGTTGACGAGTATAGGAATTTCCATCCATCTAATATGTGCAATCTCACTTATCTGCAAAAACATGGCATTATATCTAGTAACAAATGGAACCTGTTGATAATCCAACTGTACACATCTTTTTTTTACTACCTTGTTCTGCAATATCCAAATCCAATATCCATGGAAGATAACCTTTTCTTCGTTTTTGTTTTAGATTCTCAATACATACTATTTTCTTCATAGGATCCATAATAAAGCCCTTCTACCCTCCTTAACCTATTTCTCCCTATACAACAGATTTACACACAGACTATACACACCAGATTCAATGTGCTGTTAGTCAAATAATTGTGTTGCATTTAACATACAGAAATCCAAGAACATAGATAGGGTTGAATGTGGCCGCACCCACAACATTAGGATGTCATCAATATATATCACTCACTACTGGGCATGTTGCTAAAAAAATAAATACGTGTAAACAAATGCATCCTCATGCATCACCTTGGATAAATTATTGTAGGTGGGCACAGTGGTGTATTTTGGTTTTGTGCTGCCCTAGGCAAGACTAAACTCGGGCACCCCCCTCAATCTAAATTTGCCCCACCCCATCCTGTTTAGGACATTTTGCGCAACCTGTCAGTCAGTGGATACAGCCCACACGAGGTCTCAGAAGATCTGTGCATGGTCTTGGGTGGGCTGTACGGGGTCTCAGGAGAGCTGTGAAGGGTTTATGGTGGTTCTGCCGCCCCCCTGGAAAGTGCCGCCCTAGGCAAATGCCTAGTTTGCCTTGCGGTGGATACACCCCTGGGTGGGCACCACCTTCTAATTTGATATACAATGCTGTGTCTGTGGTTTGGGGCAATGCTTTTTCCCATCAGGTCTGGATGCTTGCAGTAAGTCAATTGGTTGATTAAACATCGATGTGGGGTTGTGTGTTTGGTTATGGGGGTATTGGTGTAGTTGGATTGTGTTAGTAGTCATTGGACTCAAAGAAAAAAAACTTGTTAGCTCTTGAAAAGCTAATGTTTTGCTTTATATTTTTATGCTGCTTTGTAGCTTGTTGATGTGAAATAAAAAAGTTATTTTTTGCATGATACAAATTTGAAGTCCTTAATGCGGGACACCTTTATACAACACATTGGGAATAGAAGCAGGAAGGGAGAAATTCTTTAGAAGGGTGGGGAGGTCAATTTCAGACTCCAACGTTTTACTAGAGTGAAAACATCTTCAAATATTAATCAGTTTTTACCCTGAACAACTAAATAATACTTGTGGCAACACAAATTAGAAAAAAAAATATTTTTTTCCCTCAAGAGAACAGAACAAGTACAATTTTGTTTGCCAATAATTATATTATTGGATATCCATCTTATTTCAACAATTATTTGGAATATTATGATAATGTATGTATATTTAAATCCAAAAGCATACTGGTTGGTTAACTGCTTTTCTCCAACCCCCCCTCCCCTAGTTTTTATGGTGTGTCTGTTTAAGGTAGGAACACTAGAATGTGAGCTCCTTCAAGACACAGGCACTGAGGTAAATAGTCTGGGTATTATGTCCATGTCCTATACATATTTGAAATGAATAAACACATGTTGGGAAAACACTGGAGTTTATTGATCATTTGGAATTTTACTGTGGGTTTTGAGGCAAAAATTTCAAAATGAATACCGTTTGTTTGCCAGGAGCCTTGTAATCAACCTATCTGGTATCCTTGCATTGAAATAAATTGACATAAATTACCAAAATAGTGATCAAAGGAAGGTTCACTGGTATTGAAAGGTTTACAGTATCAATCGGGTCTGTAATATGGAAAGGAAAAAAATCCTGTACTTTGACAGTTATCTTATTCTCCAGCAGGCGGTGCTCTCACCTAACCATAGTCTGCAATGTGTATGTAATATACTAAAGCAGTTCAGCTAAAAATTGTACATCATTTTCATAATAGAAGAATCCATGACATAGCATAATCTATAGCTAACATAATGTTTAGTCACATTACCTTCACACACAATTCATCTGAGCGGATTGATGTCAGATGTTGACTGTTATTATTAGTTAAACTGTAGTTATGTTATAATATAACTATCATATTTAGGAAATATTTGTCATGTTGCATTAAAAAAAATGACTGTAGCAAAAATAATTTATTTTAATCAGTTATAAGTAGATACTTGGAGAAATTATACAATTGTTAGGCTGTACCTTTCCAGATAGGAAACTGTAATTCTAAAACAGGGATTATAGCTCTTCCAAATCTCCAAACAGCCTGTTTTTCCAGTAGTTTTCAGATTTAATAACAATGGACTCATATGTGTTTGTACAATGTTTGACAAATACTTAATAATATGTCAAAAATATGGTAAATATATTTACTGCAAACTAAACAAGCTAAATGTTATTGCATATCTTAGATGAATGTCTTGCTGTTTGAATAACCTTAAACATTCTTTAATGTGCTTACATTATATGTTGTTGAAGAAGAACTTTAATTTGCCACATAAATCAGGAAATGTAATTGTAAAGAAATAGAATTCTGTCCATGTTTTAGACTTGCACTTTCAATAGTTAGCACAGGGTAAGCGCTGATTCACACATGAGTCAACATACATTTTTGGCTATATTAGTTTAATGGTTGAAAAGAATGATATATCCACTAAAGGGTTAGGGGTTAGGGCTTTTCCCCATAGTTCTCCTAAGGGTAACGGAAGGACACACACTAGCGTCCTCCCGTCACCCAAAGTTCAGTTCAGCTCAGTTCAGCTACAGCTCGCGGTATACTGAGACGCCGCAGCCGGAACGGATCCCGACAATTATTTCTGGATCCACCCAGCTGCGTGAGTGACAGCTGGCTCTGCCTATCTAGAGGCAGAGCCAGCTGTACCCGCCCCCTCCCCCGTCCGTTCCGCCAGTCAGCGGTGGAGGATCGGACAGGGGAGGGGGAATCCAGTCCCTCCCCTGTCAAGGCTCTCTACACAGATAGATCGAGAAGTGAGCGAGCGCCGGTATGTGTTCGCTCACTTACCGATATACTGAGCCGACCTGTGACAGTTTCATTGTCACAGGTCGGCTCAGATTATGAGGCTGAGTGAAAATCACTCACCTCATAATTCTCCTTTAACCATGTTATTAATGCACATGCATAGCTAGGAACTGTTGAAACTAGAGAAACATTTATAATGCATTCTTTCTAATCTTTTTTGAATGTGTGAATATAAGGTAATATTACAGTCATTTGCATAATTTCATGCCCCTTGCTGTAATGCTAACATACTTAAAGTGACACTAAACCCAGAGTTAAACCATAAAAATGCATTCCAGCCCCTTACCTATTAACAAAAATGTATCTTATTTGTGTATCACTCAGCTGTAGATCCTTAAATCATCTCTGAATTCATGCTAACACTGTCCTTCCTTCTGGAGGGTGGCTACTTTTGTTCCTCATGGTCCCTGTGTGTGCTGTAAAGTAGCCACCACTTCAGGCTCGCTCCCGTGATGGATTCCAGCTTAGTTAGCCAATTTGTATTGAAATTATAGTCCATCAATGCATGATAAGATAACATGGTGACGTGTGTAAGGCCTGTAACTGAACTTAGTCTGAGGTAATCTGATGTAAGTGGAAGCACATCCGTTTACATCTGGCTGTGGCTGGTTATAAGCTAAAATTGTGCTTAGATCAGGTCCACCTGAAAAACTGACAGGTGGATTTGATCAGAACGCTGTGTAAAAGGGGCCTAACTGTAGTTTCTGTCTTATAACTGACATTTTCACCAGCCCTGTTCATTAAATCTGCCTTAAGTACATACCTCTGATTTTGTTAAATCAAAGCTCTGACTGCTTGGAAATACTGTGCATCACCTACTCACTATTATGGGTTATAATAGCCATCTTTATGCTTAGAATCTGCCTGGGATGACCAAGACCAATGCATATATCTAGGGACATGGGAGCAGTGGGCAGCATCGACACTGTTGTGGTCATTGGCAAACAATGGCAATGAGAACATATGTTTAGTGAGATTAGAGTCTTGTATGTCTATTGGAAGATTTGGAGAGGGGGGACAAAGGTGTTAGAAATGTGAGCTGTAAGAGGAAAGTACAGTTAAAGTGCAAGATCACTCTTGAATTCCTATATGAACATTTAAGATCCATATAACACATGTATCTTAATAAATCATTAGCACCATGTTTGAATTCTGTCTGCACTTGTTTGCCCAGCAATCAGCATTGGAAACTGCCCACCATTTACCAGCAACTCCATGAAACTCATTGTGTAACTCAGCCCCTCTTGTGCAACCTATGCCTTTAACTCCATCAGGGCACAGAGGAAGCATTTCCCAGTCAGGCAGTGTAATTATAGAAGATAACATGAGGGGGCTGAACAAAACCATGAGTTGCAAGGTGTTGTTAATAAATGGACAGAAGTTTCCAATACTGATTACTGGACAACCGAAGCACGGACAGAAGTCCAACATGGTGCTATGCACACGTAGGGTCCCTTCTTCTGGGCGACATAGTGACCTATGTCGCCCAGACGCAGTGATCATGCAGTATGTGTCACCTTGTTATCTTGTGGGCGACATGGGTCACTATGTCGCCCAGAAGAAGGGACCATGCGTGGCCCCGAAACGTTGGCTGTTTGACGCATGTGACGATTTAATAAGAAGTGCTTTACTTCTTGCACATATCAACGAGTGCTGGTGACTTCTATTATGATCTAGTACACAGTCTACATTTCAAAGATTACAATT